GGGGGGGCGGACGCAGGCGCCACGTACCATGCCCGTCTCGGAGAGCATCTGCCACAGGCGGCCGGACCCGGTGCCGGTCAGCCCGGACAGGTGATGGTCATACTGCAGGATGTTCTTGGAGTTGGGGGTCAGGTCCAGGGACCCGCGGATGGAGGCCGAGATCCGGGCGATCAGCCACCCCTCAACCTCGTTCAGGGCCACCGGCTGCTGGATGTGCCGGGCCGAAGGGGTCAGCGGGGCCGACGAGGGGACCAGCCCCGGAGGCAGGGGAAGGATGGTGGACGGGGTGGTGGTCACCATCGGGGTGCTGGTGACCGAGATCATGGGCGGCGTGGCCGGGGGGGAGAGCTTGGCCGGGGGGGGGGCCGCGCCAGCACCGGCGGCCACGGGCGGTGGCGGCGGAGCCAGCATCATGTGTGCCGGCGGCAGGGGGACCTGCTGCTGGTGCTGGTGCTGGTGCTGGTGAAGATGATGATGGTGCTGGTGGTGGTGGTGGTGGTGGTGCTGCTGCTGCTGCTGCTGCTGCTGGTGCTGCTGGAGGTGCTGTGGCGGGGGGAAGGAATGCTGCTGCGCCGGCGGCGGCAGGGCGTGCAGCTGCGCCGGGACCTGCGGCTGGGCCGGCACCGAGGCGGACTCGGCGGCATGCTGCTCGGCGGCCCGCTGCCGGGTGAGGTACTGGGCTTGGATGCGCTCACGCAGGAGGTCCATGTCCGGCAGGGAGGAGGGCGCCAGGGGGGAGGGAATCGATGGCGACAGGGGTGCGGCCATGGCGCCGGGCTTGGGCGGCATGGGCGAAGCCGGTGGCGGCAGCGGGACCTGAGGGAGGCCCGGCCCGGTGGCGGCCGGACCAGCGAGGCCGGCCTGCATCAGCCGGAACTGCTGGGCCTGCTGCTCCGAGAGCGACTGGGAGTCAGCCGGCGGCGGGCCAGACAGCTTGGGTGGCAGGCTGGCCACCTGGTATCAGGGAGAGAACGGGGGAGCGGGGGTGGGGGGGGGATGGGCAGGAGCTCCAGTTAGCTGGGGGGAGAGAGAGAGAGAGAGAGAGAGAGAGCAGGCAGAGGGGAAGGAGAAGAACCAGCACGGTGGCAGCACGATACATACCGGCGGGTCGGCGACCGCGACCGACGGCGGAGGGGGGGACGGGATGGCCCCGGGCACCGGAGCGGCGGCGGCGGCGGCGGCGGCGACCAGCGACAGGGGGGCCAGCTGGGGCGATTCGGCCGCCGCACCGGTGGTGGCCTCCAGCGCGTCGAGGCGCCGGTCGTTCGACACCCGGACCAGGACCCACAGGTGGTAGATGGGCTTGGCGTGGCGGGCATTCAGGAGCTGGAGTTCCCCGAGCCCGGGCGTCGATGGCTGCTGGGCCACGGCCGGCGGGGTGACGAAGAGCCCGAGGCCGCTCTGCTCCGGGAGCTGATCATGCAGACCGTACCACATGGTGTAGTTGGGGCATGCCTCGCTGAGGAGCCGCGGCAGGGCATAGATGAAGGCCACCTGCTCCTCGAAGCCATCCTGGGCCGTGGCGTCCGGCCGGGCGGGGAAGTGCGACGACGCGTCATTGTCCGAGGACCAGCCGATGTTGAGCACCATGTCATCCTCGCTGGACGCCAGGTTGGCCAGCATGTGGTAGTAGTCGGCCGGGATCTCGGCCACATTGGCCACGAAGTCGCTGGGGACCGAGGTGATGGACAGGAAGTCCAGCTTGTCGCCGGCCGCGTGCAACACCTCGGTGTATTGGTTGGCATTCCGGTGGAGGTGCTGTGTGTGGGGGGGGGGGGGGCATCATGAGCATACACGACAGAGAGCGGGCAGCATCCAGACAAGGGCATGCGACGGGAGAGAGGGAGAGAAAGAAAAGAGAGGGAGAGAAAGAAAAGAGAGGGTGAGAAGAGAGGGAGGGTGAGAAGAGAGGGAGAGTGAGAAAAGAGAGAGAGTGAGAAGAGAGAAGAGAGAGAGAGTGAGAAGAGTGAGAAGAGAGAAGAGAGAGAGAGAGAGAGAGAGAGAGAGAACAGAGAGAGAGAGAGAGAGAGAGGGAGGGAGAGGGAGAGAGAGAACGGGTGCGACGAACCTCATAGGAAAGGTTCAGGGACACGCGCGAGCGCGGGGAGTAGTGCTTGGCCTGGATGGACGCCTCGAAGTAGAGCGGGCCGAAGTGCCCGAGCTGGGTCTCCTGGACCTTGAACAGGGCGTTGACGCAGGTGCCGAGCAGCAGCCGGGCCGGGCGGATGCTGGCCAGGACCCGCACGCAGTGGAGGAAGTGGTTGCGGATGGAGGGCAGCGAGAAGCAGATCGGGGCAAATTGCGTCGGATCCGAGGGGAGCGGCAGCTCATGGAAGGACCCATCACGCCGGCAGAAGGACAGGCTGAGGAAGAGCCGGCTGGACAGCATGCCCGGGTCGATGGGCGGCGCGGCGTCGCCCTCGGCCGCCAGCAGGGCCGGCAGCTCGGTCAGGGCCAGGATCAGGCGCGTGTCATTCCACGGGACGTCCAGGCTGACGGAGTGCGCCAGCGGCGACACCAGCAGCCGGTGCAGGCAGGTGAGGATGTGCGCGGCGTCGGCGCCCGGCGAGTACCCCTGGACGCGGGGGTCCAGCCCGAGGTCGGCGGCGGACAGCTGCACGCCCACCCGGCCGGCGGCCATCATGTCCAGCGAGGAGAGGCCCTCGGAGGAGATGAGCGCCGGCGGCAGGAGGGGGGTGGCCGTGGCGTCGGTGGCGGGCAGGGCGGCGAGCGAGCTCCGGCGGAAGGTCTCCAGGCGCTTCAGGAGGTCGAGGCTGTCCCGCGGCTCGGAGGCCGGCTCCGGCGTGGGGGCTGGCAGCGGGGGGGGGGG